TGTCTCCTGTGATGGCTCCATCATGCAAGCACTTGGCTATCTCCATAGAAAAGGTGGTGGTTGCCTTGGAGAGGTAGGCCTTGCAGAGCACTCAGTGGCTGCTATATTCACACTCGGACCTGTTCTCCATCGCTTTAGTCAAGGGTGCAATTCATCAATGGTTAAGCAAGAGAGCCACCTCAACCTGCCTCCAGGTGCCTTATCTCCTTGAGGACGGGGATAGGACATTGTGCACCCAATGGGAAGATAAGCATCAGCTTAGTACCCTGGACTCATCCCAGTCCAATTCACACAATGACTGGTATAGGATGAACATGTGGAAATATAACTGACTGCCCTTTCTTTATATTGCTGTACTCTTAATCTGTTGATATTGTTTGCAATGGTAAAAGGCCATTGGGCATTGCATTTCATGCCCAATCAGTCTTGAATGATATGGACCATTGGACAGCTAGACAGTTAACAGTGTGACTCGGGGTCAGACTAGGTTCTTGAGGAATATGAAGGAAACAAGAAGGAACTTAAACAAGGAAGTAGGAGGGCTAAAATGAGCCATATCCTTTGCAAGTAGGATTAAGGAGAATCCTAAAGCAGTTTATACATATTTTAGGAGCAAGAGAGTAGCTGGAGAAAGGATAGGTCCACTCAAACAAATCAGGGAATCAATGTGTGAAGCCAGAGGAACTGGGTGAGCTCCGTAAAGAGTACTTTGCATTAGTATTCACCAGTGAGAAAGACATGGACGATGGTGAGGTTAGGGAGGGGAATGTGATATTCTAGGCAATGTCAGGCAAGGGGGGAGTTTGTTGGGAATTGACAGCGATCTTTGTATTCTCTCTAACCATAGGTGAGGTCCCAGAAGACTGGAGAATAGCCAGTGTTCTTACTTTAAAAAGGGCAACAGGGATAATCTAGGAAACTATAGACCAGTGTGGCTTGCATCAGTGGCAGGGAAATTACTAGAGAAGACTGTTTGGGACAGGTATTATTTGCATTTGGACAAGAATGGACTTTTTAGGGATGGTCAGCATCACTTTATATGGGGAAGGTCCTGTCTCAAATTTGATTGAGTGTTTTGAGGACGTGACAAAGGCAATTGATGAGGGTAGGGCAGTTGATGTTGTCAACATGGACTTTACTAAAGCATTTGAAAAAGTTCCTCATTGTAGGCTAGTCCAGGCAATTATGTCACATGGGATCCACAGTAACCTGGTATATTGGATACAAAACTGGCTTGATCATAGAAGACAGAGTGGTTGTAGAGGGGTGTTTTTCTGACTGCAGATCTGTGACCAGTGATGTGCTGTAAGGATCAATGCTAGGACCTCTGTTGTTTGTTATATAAATAAATGACTTAGATGAAAATGTAAGTGGTCTGATTGGTAAGTTTACAGTCGTTATGGAAATTGGTGGGGTTGTGAATAGTAAGGAAGGATATTTACACAGCAGGATATAGATCAGTTGGAAAGTTGGGTAGAGAAATGGCCTTGGAGTTTAATTCTGACAAGAGTGAGGTGATGCATTTTAAGAGGTCAAATGCAAGAGGGAAGTATATAGTTAATGACAGGACCCTTAAGAGCATTGATATAATAAAGGAATCTCTCCTGATATAGGCAACACAAGTGGATAAGGTGGTAAAGAAGGTGTCCGGCATGATTGCCTACAATTGAGCCTGAAAGTTGGCAAGTCATGTTGCAGCTGTATAAAACTTTAGTCAGGTCACATTTTGAATTTTGTGTGCAGTTCTGGTCACTACACTATAGGAAGGATATGGAGGCTTTGGAAAGGATGTAAAAGAGGTTTACTAGGATGTTGCCTGGATTGGTGTGTATTACTCATGAGGAGAGGCTGGAAAAACATTGTTGTTTACTAGAGCATTGGAGGCTGAGGAGTGACCTGAAAGAAGAATATAAAATTATGGGTAGCATGGAGAGGGTGGATAGCTGGAGTATGTTGCCTAGGGTGGTCATGTCAAATACTAAGAGCCATAGGTTCTAGATGAAAAGGGAAATGTACATGGTATATTTTTTTCACACCGAGTGTGAAGGTGGCTGGAATATGCTGCCAGGGCAGGTGATAGAAGCAGATACGGTAGGAATGTTTAACAGGCATGCTGACAGTCACATGAACTGGCAGGGAATAGAAGAGTGTGGACCACATGAAGGCAGATGGGATTAGTTTAGAATGGCATTGTTGTCGGCGCAGACATGATGGGCCAAAGGGCCTGTTCCTGTGTCATACTGCTCTATATTCTGTGTTTTAAAATAGTGAGAAATTGGGAAGCTATGATGTCCAAAGGGACCTGGATCTCCCTCAATGGAAGTCACTAGAAGTTAACATTCAGGTGACTCAATTAATTTGGCAAATGATTTGATGGGTTTTCTTGCAGGAAGAAATGAATGTAAGTTTTTACAGATTATTGCTTCATGTGTGTCGTGCCTTTTGTGTTCAGACAGATGAACAGGCAGGGAATAACAAACAGGATGAGCTCCTGACCTAAGGAATGATAGAAACTCTTCCTTTGAGGGGGTGTAACCAATGTTAGCTGGATGGCTGCGGGGATAGAGGGACTGCCCTAACTGTACACGTTGAGCAGACTACACGTGTATGAATGTTTGGATGAATAAGAGGTCACATCAGTGAACCACACTAAACTTTTGCAGGGCTCTGGAAAGATGGTTGCTATAGAATCCCTACAGTGTGGAAAGAGGTCATTCAGCCCACTTGGACTGTACTGACCCTCTGAAGAGCATCCCACCTATCCCCAGCCCCCTACACTATCCCCGTATTTACATCCTGCACATCCCTGGGCACTATGGGGCAATTTACCATGGCCAATCCACCCTAACCTGCTCTTCTGGACCAGACTAGATACCTTCAAAATATTTTAAGAAGCTAGCCAGGACCCAAAACTTCTTATTTTAAAGGCAAATGTAAAGTGACCTGTTTCAGATGCAATTTGACTGGTCAAACTACTCGATATTAAGAAAAATACAATTTGTTCAAACACTACAGTTAAAATACAACAAAAGAAAGAAGAACTTAGAATAACTTAACTCTATTGGAAAAATTAACGGAATAGTAGATACAGTAACTATTACTAATTAACTGTTCCAATATAATAACTTCCCATAAACACAAAATTCAGAAAATAGATTTTGTCTCACATGCAACCCAGTAATCCAGAAGGAAAAACACCAAGAAAACTTAGAGTAGCAACCAGGAGATATTTACTGCAGCTTCCAATCCTGCTGAGTCTCTACCAACAACTGCTAAACCTAAAAAATCCAGAAATTCCGGATCTGAGAGAGCTGGACCACATCCACTCAGGCTGCTTCTATTGTTCCAAAAACAACCTAAGTGCTAAGAATCTGCTAATGATAGCGGGGGATTAAACGATAGCAATGCCATTGAATGCAAGGGGTGCAAAATGTTACTTGCCATTTATCAGACCAAGCCTGGATATTGTTCATGTCTTATTACATTTGGACCTCAATTTCTGAGGAGTCACGAATGGTGCTGAACATAGTGTAATCATTGGTGAACATTCCCACTTCTGACCTTGTGATGAAGGGCAGGTCTTGGTGAAGCAGTTGAAGTCTGCTAGACCATGAGATTCCTAGACTTTCTTCTATTAGCCATTCTCTGATGCAATTTGAAACCGTATCCCAGGAGCATTACCTGGGTCTCTCAATTACTATTCTGGCAATGATAACTTGATGTCATCACCTACCCAGACAGAGTTCATGAAGACAGTGTGCTGAGGCTGGGGAGTTAAGGACAGAGCAGGAGTTCCATTTGATGAATCGGTATCTTACATGTTTAATCAGCAGAACGGGAGAAATCCAGGATTGGGAGGAGGAGGAAACCAATTGGGCTCTCCCATCCTCAGTATGAAACCAAAAACATTTAATAACTTTAAGGAAGCTAATTGAGAAATGTCTTGAAAATTCAATGTTAGAATCTCAATTTAAAAGTGAGGAGGGAAAGACCACAATTTCTTGATTTCTGACCTTTTACTGCATTGGAGAATCTAGGCCGATCACTTGTGTGCAATGTTTGCTACTTATGTCAACAAGCTGCATTAATTCTTTGCTCTACACAGATGTGTTTAACCCACAGTTACCACTTCTGCATTTCAGTGCAAGGGATTTTTTTATTTAGCTCTACTTCTGCATTGAGTCATTAGAACTTCTTTTAGCCTTTTCTAGATTGGTTCTCGCTCTAAATAACAAGAGACTGGGGATTGTGAAAAAAAAAACAGCCAGCTTTAGTACATGCAATCAAGAAGCCAAATGGAATTTGCTTCTTTTTTGGCAGCTGGAATATGAGAATTCAAAATGAAACAAGGAATTCTGTACATTGGAAAATCTTTCCCATACCAGGCACTTTCCTCATTCCTTACAGTTGTCAGGGAAATATGAGAGTGCTCTGATGACCTTGGATAGCATGTGGCTTTTGATGGAACAAAAACAGAAGTTGCTGGAAAAGCTCAGCAGGTCTGGCAGCATCTGTGGTGGAGAAAACAGAGATAACGTTTCGGGTCCGGTGACCCTTCCTCAGAACTCGAAACGTTAACTCTGATTTTTTCCTTCCAGATGCTGCCAGACCTGCTGAGCTTTTTCAGTGACTTATGTTTTTGTTCCTGATTTACTGCGTCCGCAGTTCTTTCGGTTTTTATTTGGCTTTTGATAGTCCTGCCCAAGTCAGGAGCACCCAATGTTTCTCCTACCAGGCATCAGAAGTCAGGGGACTATGAAGAACTAAGAATCTGCTGATGACAGTAGGGGAGGGTGGTATCTGAGTTTTGATGTTTAGCCTCCTGCATTCAACCTGGTTTGACAAAATGAACAGCTGAGGTGAAGATCTGCATCGATGTAGCTAAAGGTTTTGTTGGAACAGATTCAGTCACAAAATGCCCTTGAATAAGAAATGAATCTAAACACTGACTGCCATGTCCCCTGTTCATTATCAAATATAATGTTACCTTGTTTTTGTAGGAGAGAAGTGAGAGTGGCAAGTGGGTGTTCAGTTGTCAGCACGGAGAGCAGGAATGCACTGGGAACATGATCGAGGTGAGGACCTAGTCTGATCAAACAGCTACTCGGGATCATGTGTTCATCCAGCCTCACATAATGTCCAAGGGTTTCAATTCACAATCTCTTTTTTCTAAAATACCTTTTACCATTCCAGAATTCCCATATAATTAAATTAAAATGACTCTGACCCCATTTCTAATCACAAAATGAGCCCATCCGCATGGCAACCAGCAAAAGACTTTATAGAGGGCTTTCATCACTGCCAGGAACACAGATTGTTCCATCTATTATTTTCAATCCCTTTCTCTCGCACTCTCTCTCTATCTCCACACCTTCCTCTCTCTCTCTCTCTCACTCTCCCCTCTCTCTCTGTTTCTCTCACCCTCCGTCTATGTCTCTCTCTCTCCGATCCCCCCTCTCTTTCTCTCTCCGTTCACCTCTCTCTCTCTCTCGCCCCGCTCTCTCTCCCTCTGTCTCCGTTCCTCTCTCGCTCTCTCTGTCTCCATTCCCTCCCTCTCCCTCTCACGCTCCCGCTCTCACCGTTCCCCCCCTCTCTCTCTCTCTCTCACTCACTCATTCTCTCCCGTCAC